GGTTAAAAAAATTCGGTCAACCGTTAGTCAAGGGGGGTTTTCGTAATTACGAGAACGTGAGGGGGATTTTCGTTATTTAGGCTTACCTCAGGGGGGTTTTGGTAATTTGCCCTTAAGTTATACTATACGAGAGTTAATAATCTAGTTATATAATCAAACCTACAGAACAACTACCTAATTACAGTACTGAAACGGCCTCGGGACAAAATCTTGAAAGAAGCTAGCTCTTCGAATCGACTTCACCGGACAACTCTCGTAGACGTGCATATATCTGAATCACGAGTACTCTTAATTGCACTTAGTTGTAAGCCTCAAAGCCACATAACCAATCATAATAACGGTAAACGTTCTCCATTTCAAACTCCCTCAAACGAATCTTCTCCACCGTATTAAATTTCAAGTTATAGAAAAACATTCCTCTGCATTTCCAGAACAACACCAACTCGTCGTTTTTAATGGCGACAACTCTTATCTCACCCAATAGATAGTAGAGTACTCCACCAATACCTTCTTCCATGGGATATTTGTTCATGTCCCAATCGAGATTAACAATGTACTTTCTAACCCAACGCCACTTCGCGTAGTCCTCCAATATCCATATATCCATTAACGGAGCTTCATGCCCCACAATGCAAAAACACAATCGATCGTCTTTCACCAAAAGATGTCGTACGAAGCAACCCCCTTGATGATAGTCTCCTTCGAAAGGAAGAACCCTAATAGAGAACTCTTCATTAATAATATCACCATGATTTCACCTATGTCCCAATGCAAAGCATCATTCACGCTTGCCGGATTACCATCAATGCCGTATCTACCTCTTACATTCCTCGACTGTGAAGGTATGCGAGAGAAGTACGGATTCTCAATTCTCCTCCATTTTTTTGCTCCGAATAGGTAAATATTATACTCGTACCTGTCGGTTTCTAATTTAAGCACATTAAGAATCCTATACTCCTTTGCCAAAGGATGGTAGAAAAACCCGCAAAAGTGACCTCCCCTAAAAGGACCGTATATTTTTTGTTGTATTTCGTTTGATGAAGGGTTAACGACAATGTGTAGGGATGAAGGAGTAGTCGAGTGGAACAAAGCTAATCCGTTGCAACAACCGACGAAATAAGCCTCTTCAATTGACTTGAGGCCCTTTATCCTACACTCCTTTTCAGATTGCCCATCGATGATAGAAATCCTTAGATGTCCGGGACCCCAACAATTACCGGAACAACAGAAATAGCGAAGAATTAGTGGTCTTACCGACGACGACGACGACGATGCAAAAATCAACCTCAACCACTTGTTATCATCAGCAGCATTAATATTATGGTCACCCATTATTTTCTTAAAGAGGTGAATGAGCCACTTACAAGGGCCATGTTATATTTCCTGCCGGAAAGATTTCAAAATCACCCATTAATTTGAATAAATAAACATGAAATCTGAAATAAAACAGAAGAATCAAAAAAGTTGGAGGATAATAATAGTTGATTTCTATAATGTGATTAAACGTATCAATGCTTTACTAATTCAATATATATATATATATATTGCTCTGCTTTTGTGGAGATACCAATTTTACGTATTCAACAAAACACGTTGCAAACGATTAATAAAAATAGGAAAAATCATTGGAAATTTGATGGTGGTGCGTGGTGGGTAGTGGAGACGGGCTGCGGCTGGTGAAAATTGGAGAAAGTTGGGAGATGGGTTTTGGCAAAATTGCAAATTAGTCCCCTAATCTAATTTAAGCTTTAGAAGTTTAATAAAATTGCAATTTGGCCTCTTTCATTATTATAATTTGGGCGAATTGCAAATAGGCCCATGACAAGGGTATTAAATGCACATAAGTCCAGACAAAAAACAGTCTTGCAAATAAACCCATCCACATATTTTTATCTAAAATATGCTCAAAAATATAATTTTCATCAATTTCATCCATTATATTTTAATTTCATCAATATTACACATTGACCCCGAATTTGAACAAGTATATCACATTAACCCCTATTTTCATAAAAAAAAAATTTGAAATATTTTTTTTTAGAAAATAATTTTTTTTTTTGAAATTTTTTTTTTCCGGCCAGATTCCGGCGCTGACTTCTTTCTTTTTTTTTTTGGAAAGTTTTTTTTTCTAAATTTTTTTTCCGGTCGGTCAACCGCCTTTGACCGCTATCCGGCGTTGACTTTTTTTTTTTTTGAATTTTTTTTCTCTCTCTACATTACTATTTTAACAACAAAATTATTGTCTAAGATAGTAATATTGAAAACCAAACAGTAATATTATTGTTCCAAACAACAATATTACTGTCCCGAACACTAATATTATTGTCCCGAACAGTAATATTATGAATATTACTTTCCCGAACAACAATATTATTAATATTATTGTCACAAACACCAATATTATTGCATGAGACAGTAATATTATGATCGAAGAAAGCAAAATTGCAGTCCAAGACGATAAAATTAATACAGTAAAACTATTGTCTCAGGCAGTAATATTAATGAAAATATTTTTTTTAAGAAAAAACAAGTTTCAAAAAAAAAAGTCAACGGCGGTTGACTTGCCGGAAAAATAAAATTCAAAAAAATAAGTCGAACGCCGGAGACCGGTGGTTGACCTGCTGAAAAAAAAAAAAAAAGTCAACGTCGGTCTTCAGCGGTGGCGGTCAAAATTGGTTAATTGGTGAAATTGGACTAAATTGGGGGTGTAAATTATGAAATTGAAGTTGAATTATCATTTCAAGGAATTGGGATAATTTTGGTATATATAACATGGTTTTCCTTATTTGATAATAAGTTTGAATGAGTTGGGTTTATTTGGAAGATAGAAACGTTAGATGTCTTTTTTTTAATTAAGTGTTTTTGTCATGGACATATCTACCATTTGCCCTTATAATTTTATGTTATTCCACTGAGGGTAGTGGCGTATCTAGCATGGTCCTAAGGTGTGCAGTTGCACACCCTTGGATTAAAAAAAAATTGTATATAATAATTTTGGGGTTTTTTCATATTTATAAATAATGAGGGGTTAAATTGAAATTTAGAAAAAAATAAATCAACCTTACCCAGACCCATAGGCCAGAATTCCAGAAGACTTTTTTTCCTCTGTTGTACACTCCACAAACAAAATTCAAAAACAGAGAACAGAGAAACGCCTCATAAAAAAGTTGGAAAAAAAAAACGATCCTGGAACCGAACCACCTTCTCCCTTTGTCAACTCCAACCAAACAACACATGATTTCCGCCACCAATCCACGCCTATGACGCAACAGATTAGCAACAATTTCATTAATTAAGTAAAAGGGGATTTTTTTAATTGGGTTGAAAGAAAATAACATTAAAAAAATTAAAATTAAGGCTTCTATTTGGGGGGTGGGGGGCGTTAGTTTTCTTAGAGTGGGTTTTGAGGTTTTTTTTCTTTTCCTTTTTTAAAGTATTTGAGTCACTTGAGAAAGAGACAGGAAGATATAAATTTGTAATCTCAAGTGGAACTTTTAATTGCAAAGTGCACTTTGCACGTGCACCACATTGTGTAGAGATTCCATCCATTTTTAATCATTCTAATTTCTAAGAATTAGGGGTGCAAGTTGGAAGGGAATTTCCAATTTCCGCCGGTTCCGATCCGAAAAGTTCCGATTTTGGAACAACTCTTTTATTCCGACTTCCGAAATTCCGATTTCCGAATTTTTCCGATTTTTTTGGATTGGAATTGGAATTATATAAAATAAATTTGGAATTTCCGATCCGATTTAATTCCAAAATTAATACCGAAAAATTCCGATTTTTTTCCGAAAAATACACCTATAAATAATATATTATATAATATTTTTTTTCCGAAAAATGCACCAATAAGTTTTGTTTTAAGATTTTGACATAATGAATTGTTAGAAATTTTATTGGATATTGTGCTCTGTTTATTTTTATTTATTTTTTTGAACTGAAATTTAGTAGTTATTAGTTTTACTTTTATCGACGCGGATGTTCTTATTTTTGAAAAATTATGAACATTGTAGAAAATTTCGGCTATGTTTTGAAATTTAAAAGCTTATGTAATTTCCGATTTTATTCTGAAATTCCGAAATTTCCGGACCTTTTGGAATTGGAATGAATTTTTAGATTCCGAAAATTTTGGAATTGGAATTGGAATCGATTTTGCACATCCGATTTTTTTTGGAAATTTTCCGAAAAGGCTAATTCCGATCCGATTCATCCGACTTTCACCCCTAATAAGAACTTCTATTTTTATCTAATTATATTTATTTTCAGAAACTAGATCGATTTGTGACAAAGACAAAACACCCTCGGCTAGAAGAACCATCGACATCAAATGATAATGTGAATATTGGAAGGCCAACTAATGATATCGTCCAAGAAGCACAAGTTCAAGGTATTCACTCTCAATTGTAAATAGAAGTTAATGTGAACACTATTGAGGTCGACCCGGAATTAAGATTGCCTATTAGTGTTCTCGCTAAGACTTCAAAAGAATTTGAAACTATCTGGAGAGCCTACTTACAAAAAGGTCCTTGTTAACCTCGACTCCATACACTTCCTCAATCTACTTTATATGGACAAGAACGTAGATTTAGTGCGGATTGGTACAATGAATTTGGTAGTTGGTTGGAATATAGTGAAAGTAAAGATGAGGTATTTTGCTTATTTTGCTATATTTTTAAGGTTGACGATAGTGCAAAAGGGGGTGGTGATAAATTTGTTGGTGAAGGTTGGCACAAGAAAAATAGTTTGAGAACACACGAGGGAAATCATAATAGTGTTCATCATCATTGCTACATGGCTTGTCAAGATTTAATGAATAATAAATGTCACATAGATGTTCCTCTTGCGAACAAAACTAAAGAATCTAAATGTGAGTATTACATTCGGTTGTGTACACGACTAAGGCCATAAGATATCACTTACGGCAAGGACTTGCATTGCGGGGGCATGATGAATCAAATGAGTCGCTAAATAAAGGTAATTTTGTTGAGCTTATCAAGGTTATGGCGGAAGACAACGATGAAATTAATCGAGTTGTTTTGGATAACTCTCCGGGAAATTGCATAATGAAAGCCCCAGATATTCAAAACCAAATTATCAGTTCATTTGCCCATTTTGTCTCGAAGGCTATTATTTGTGACATTGGTGATGATGTATTTGCCTTACTAGTTGACGAGGCACGTGATGTCTCCATTAAGGAGCAATGGCCGTTGCTTTACGTTATGTGAACGGTGAAGGGAAAATTATTGAACCTTTTATTGGCATTGTTCATGTTCCAAACACTACTTCATAAAGTTTTTCTTGAGTCTCTTCTTAGGAAATTTGGCTTGAGCTTGTCACGTGTGCGTGGCCAAGGTTATGATGGAGCTAGTAACATGCAAGGAGAGTTTAATGGTTTGAAGAGTTTAATATTGAAAGAAAACAAGTATGCTTTTTATGTCCATTGTTTTGCTCATCAACTTCAGTTGGCTCTTGTGGAAATTACTGAGAAGAATAAGCAACTATGTGAGTTTTTTGGTTCTCTTGCAATGTTAGTAAATATTATTGGAGGTTCTTGTAAACGTCAAGAGTTGCTTCGGGAGAAACAAATTGAAAAACTGTGCAAAAAGATTTCTTTTGATAATTTTGTAACGGGCAGTGGTTTGAATCAAGAAGCCACTTTAAAAAGGCCGGGAGATACACATTGGAATTCATATTATTTCACAATCGTGAGTATGATTAAGTTGTTCTCGTCGGTGGTTGATGTACTAGAGTATTTGGCAAATAATGGTGATGTTGTTGCTCATTATGGACAAGCCACAATTCTTTTAAGAAGTATTGAATGTTTTGAGTTTGCCTTTGTTCTGCACTTAATGAGATCAGTCTTGGGAATCACAAATGATTTATCACAAGCATTGCAGAAAAAAGCCCAAGACCTTGCTAATGCCGAGAAACTTGTTACTTTTGCTAAAGATCGACTACAAGAATTGAGAGAAGATGGGCGAATTGTTGCAAGAAACTTCAGACTTTTGTGTTGAGCATGACATTCTTGTCCCAAACATGGATGATAATTTTCTACTTTACTCAAGAGATGGCAGAGTATCCCAAAGAGGTACACAAATTACAAACTTGAATCATTATCAGATTGAGGCACTTTACACAGTGATAGATCTTCAACTTTCAGAGTTGAAAGATCGTTTTGATAATACCAATACAGAGTTACTTAGTTTGATATCGTGTTTTGATCCAAGTAATTCGTTCTCTGCTTTTTAAATAAATGCTTTGGTAAAATTAGCTGGATTTTATCCAAACGAGTTTGATGATTGTGGTCTTATCGTGCTTGAAATCAACTTGAAAATTTATTAGAGATGTTAGAAGTGATCAAGACTTTTCAAATATGGTGGGGGCTAGTAGGCTTGCTGAGAAGTTGGTTGCAAAGAGAAAAAAATATTACCTATCCATCGGTGTGCTTGCTATTGAAGTTGTCGTTAATTTTGCCGGTTGCAACCGCATCAGTGAAAATGGTATTTCTGCAATGAAGATTGTCAAGTCAGAACTACGCAATCGTATGGGGGATCAATTGTTGAATGATATTTTGGTGCCGTACATTGAAATATATTAGACAATGTTAGTGTCAACGAAGTGATGATTTTTTTCCAAGAAATGGGACCACTTCGAAAGATATTTTAGAACTTTTTATTTGTATATCAAAACAGTAGTATTTTAAATTTTTTCCCCATGTTTATTATTTATATATTTCTTTGGTATTAAATTCCGAACACCCTTGATTAAAATCCTGGATTCGCCACTGACTGAGGGGTATACTTGTCTTTTCACCTTCATTCAACGATTAACATGCCAATGGATGCGGTGAGCTTCGGAAAATGTCACACAGGGGCAAATGGTGAGGTTTTCTTTTTTTTTTTTTTTTTGACAGGGGAGTATTTGATAATTAGCTATTTGACAGGGATGGTATTTGCAATTAACTCATATATTTAAATTCTTTGCCATTTCCAAGTTCCCTCTCATGTGAAAATGTCATTCCAGTGTTTCAAATTTTCAGGTTATTTAATCATCTTTTGTTAAGAAGTTGTATAATTGAGTGTAATTTTCGGTCGAAACCAACGGCATATTTTATAGTGTTTTGTTGTTAATGTTTTGTAATTGGTGGTTAATTCAGATACCCGAACATGGAAAGTTGAGCTTATTGACAAAGTGTTCTGATCGAGAGAGGGTTTTGGAAGTTCCAATTGGTAGTCGAAGAGCTGAAGATAGGTGGATTTAGCATATTCCAACACATGATGGTTTACTGTGTGTTCGTGTTACCATAATATTGTCTCTCACACCCATTCATTTAGCGAGAACCAGGGCAATGCGGGGTGGGGGGTGGGGGGTGTCATGGAAATGGGATTCGATTTGGGAGCTTCCAATTCCACCAAGCATTCAGATTTTTTTGTGGCGAGCGTGCTCGGAGATCCTCCCCAAGAACGCTGAACTTTTCTGCCGGAAGGTGGCTTCTTCTCCAACCTGTTTTACGGCGTGGGGCTGAAGTGGAAACCATTTTGCACTAAACGATCAATCCTCTTCCAATTTCAGATTACGGAGGGCGCCGGCAAACTTTTGAGCTAATCTAACCGATGCCACTTTTTGTGTGTAGATTACATTTCTAACTCTTTACTCGGCAACTTTTGACGGATGGAAATAGCAATTAATTGACGATGTAGTTTGCTACTCGCTACTCTTTTTGTATGTGAATGTAGTTGAAAAACTTTCTCCACATGTGGTTGGGGATAAGTAGTTGAATACTTGCTACTTGTTTTGTTTGTGAATTGTGATGCTTTAATGAAATAGCAGAAATATATGTAATGTACTGAAAGCCTCAAACAGTTGCAAATACACACACACACATACAAAATAATAATAATAATAATAATAATAATATTACAAATTTGCAACAAGACTTCTTGCATTTGATTTTTACGTACAACCATCATATTTCTAGAGAACATGCATGCATCATTCTATAGGAGGCAATACTTATACAAATTCAATGACTCTAAGCTCAGAGTATAAAACTGTATATTCGGTCTTAGAGGGCGACTTAGTAGGCCTGTTAAAACATGTCTTAGAGGGAGAATTATCAGGCCTCGTAAAACACAAGGCATGTGCATTCGAACGATATATCCACAGAGATTTAAACAAATCAGGAACAAATATATTACCGATAAAGTGAATCTTTCAGCATTGCATGATGATAAATAAAAAAAAAATAACAAAATTAGACGCCGTGTCTAACAATACTTGCACTCAAGTGAATATATCGTTCAAAGGGGACAGTGTTGCATAATTCAAGGCAGCAAAAGAAAATCGATTTTTGGTAGGTGGTGCATGTTGATCTAGCGAATCGCTAGATCGATTTGTCAAAAGTTGATATTAGGCAATTCATGGAAAAGGCCTACCGAGACTATTTACTACTAGAACCAGTTTAAGTTGGTACGACGTAGAATGCTGTAGATGATCCTTAATAGAATGCCTAGCTATACTTTAGAGCATTCAAAACAAGTTTATCCTCGAATATTTGTTACTTCACGAGTTTGCAGTTCATGCATATATTTCTCAAGGTAACGATGATAATGCCAAAGAACTTCGCCGAAGATCTTGCTCCAAGATTATTTCAGGCATGCGCAAGTTCTATGTTTTACACACTGGTTATCTGATTACTAGATTATAGGAACGAATATCAGGTTCATCACTCTTTAGAAAAAGAAAGTTTGTACAGATACACACGAAGCAGTAAAAAATCTCGGGCATTTTTTTCCATGTCAGCTAAAGTGAAAGCTTAATTTCTAGCAGGAGAGACCTTCCTAAAATGCCTTAACAAAGTTGATATTAGACTATTAACGGAGAATACTACTTACTCAAAATATTATAGTAATTACACTACAAACATTGATGTTGTTATAACCTAGAATGCTCTAGATGATCCTTAATGGCCTTTTTCTGTATATTTTTGAAACAAATAGTCCATGATATATCAGATGAATCAAGGAACGGAGTTTCCCAAGAAGCAACAAATAACATCAAGAAGCAGTGAATAACATAAGCATGAAACACTTCCCGTTTCAAGCAAAACATCAAATTCAGAATCTTCACCCAGCGAACGAAAATACAAAATGAATAACAGACACTTACAAATCAGGATTCATTTGCATAATGGTCATGGACACAGCCATATGTTTCTCTACAATATTATCAGCACATGTATATATGAATATCCTATTAAAGTGGAAATCAGCAATTAAATGTTCGGTTAACCTTTCTTATATAAGAGTATTGACAGATTACCTACAAATCAATCCAAGGTAGCTCGTTAAGTTGGTGGCAACATGTTGACAAACCCCTTTGTACCCGAGTTGAAGAACCAAAACACCAATGCAGCAAATACCCCCATCATGAAAATCAGCGAGACCAGATTGCCCTTGTTGGACGCAAGTTTATCGAGCCATTCTTTGTCTTCGTACAGACCACCATAGAACTCTTGAATGACAATCTTTATCGTAGCATCCAGAAGCTTCTTTGAAGGGCCCAAATCCTTTGATTTCATGACTTGAATTCGAGCTTCTCTCAGATGTTTTATTACTACCTCTGTTTCATAAGATTCAATCTTGTGGTCAGACTCTATTTCAGCACCTCCAAGTTTGGTGTCTCTGGCATTAGTGAAGGCATGCTTGTCGGAAGTAATTTCTGAGGATGGTGACGGTAAGGTCAGATCTGAGATAGCAACTGTTTTCGATGAATCCGTGTCCACAGGATATGCTGCAATGAAGTTCTGATAGCAGAAACATACTGTTTACTTAGATAAGCATCAAAAGGAGAAAACTATGTTCTGTAAAATAAGTGAATGATGTACGATCCAACACGAAATTTTTTCTTACTTCCTAAATTGAGTCATCAAAGAACAATCACATAAAATTATATAAGCTTCCTACTCAGCAGAATGATTTCATGAAATACCGAAGCAAAATCCTTCTATTTGATCTCTAAAACCACAAACAGGTGAAATTGAAGAATTACGGCAAAAAATCCCAAACACGAATGAGAATTTCGCCATGGAAATTACTTCGAAACCTTCTCAACAGAAAGAAATAAGCAAGAGATGCATATAATCAGAAAATAAGTCAAACGATGATCATTCCAAATTGAAACCAAATTGAAAAATTACCTCAGATTAGGCATCAAAACGAGAAAATTATGTTCTGTAACAGAGTGAACGATCTACAATCCAACACGAATTTTTTTAGTAACTTCCTAAACTGAATCATCAAAGAACAATCAAATAAAATTATATAAGCTTCCTACTCAGCAGAATGATTTCATGAAAAAACCGAAGCAAAATCCTTCTATTTACTCTCTACAAAACACAAACAGATGGAATTGAAGAATTACGGCAAAATCCAAAACAGGAACGAGAATTTTGCCATGTAAATTAGTTTGAATCCTTCTCAACAGAAAGAAATAAATAAGAGATGCATATAGTCAGAAGATAAGTCAAACGAAGATCATTCCAAATTGAAAAATTACCTCAGATTCAAAATGAGAAAATTACCACACAAAATTTTCTTAACTTCCTAACTGCAGAACAATCAGGTTAAATTATACAAGCTTCCTACTCAGCAGAATGATTTCATGAAAAAAAAAAACCGAAGCAAAATCCTTGTATTTGATCTCTAAAAGCACAAACAGGTGGAATTGAAGAATTACGGCAAAAAATCCAAAACATGAATGAGAATTCCGGCATGGAAATTAGTTTGAAACCTTCTCAACGGAATGAAATAAACATGAGAAGCATATAATCAGAAGATAAGTCAAACGAAGATCATTCCCAACTGAAAACCAAATCGAGAAAAAAAAAAATACCTCAGCCGATTCACCAAATTGATCGTTGACAGAAACCTCTGGAAATTCCTTCAGAAACTCCGTCACGGTAAAACCTTCCTCCGAAACAGCTTTGAATGCAGGATTCAAACTCTTCTTCATG